TTTTGGCGTCTACAACATGAAAGCATGGATCTATCCTGCCTTGTATCAACGGTTCAGGCTGGTGGTGGTGGTGTCATGGTGTGGGGGAATATTTTCTTGGTACTCTTTGGGCCCCTTGGTACCAATGAGCATCGTTGCAAACGCCACAGCCTACCTGAGTATTGTTGCTGACCATGTCCATCCCTTTATGACCACAATGTACCCAACTTCTGATGGCTACTTTCAGCAGGATAATGCGCCATGTCATAAAGCTGGAATCATCTCAGACTGGTTTCTTGAACATGACAATGAGTTCGCTGTACTCAAATGGCCTCCACAGTCACCAGATCTCAATCCAATAGAGCATCTTTGGGATGTGGTGGAACGGGAGATTCGCATCATGGATGTGCAGCCGACAAATCTGCGGCAACTGTGTGATGCCATCATGTCAATATGGACCAAACTCCCTGAGGAATGCTTCCAGCACCTTGTTGAATCTATGCCACGAAGAATTGAGGCAGTTCTGAAGGCAAAAGGGGGTCCAACCCGTTACTAGCATGGGGTACCTAATAAAGTGGCCGGTGAGTGTAAATGTCTCATTCTAAGGTAATAAAAACATTACGGTTTATTAAGTAAGTTCTTTATACACCACTGAAAACATAGTTATGGATGTCATATTGCATTTCTGTTACAGTTTTTCTCAATTGTTTACACACACAAATTCTGGTACTTGAGACACAATGACCACACATGTAACTCATTACCAACCCACTGAACCAATTCTGATGAACTACAAGCACAATTCCTGCTTTACACTCAAATTGCAGCTCTAAAACACACGTTTTTCAAAACACTACACACAAATTCTCTGCATTTGGCACAATTTTCATGCAGAAAATCTCTTCTTTTCACGAGGAAAACACTGCCATTCAAATATTCACACTGACTCGTCACATGGGCAAACACATTTCACACAGTTTTACAATTAGCGATCAGAGCTTTAGCATAAAATACCAAAACCAAAGAGAAGATGCAGCATAGATTTTTTAAATTGTTTTTTTTTTAAGCTGATGGCTACTACTCTGAGCACGCCCATAATTCATAATTTAACCTGAATGTATTTTATCTGAAATTCTGTACGTTGATTTATTTTATTTTTTTGTATCTGAATTTGTGAGCATTGAAAAATATTCATCGAAATTCAGGTTTTTAAAATGGAAATTTTCATAGGCCTGTTTAAAGGTGCAGTGTGGGATTTTTAGCGACATCTAGCGGTTCGGTTGTGAGTTTGCACCAGGTTTGCACTAAGGGCTTAGCCCACTGCTCACCCCTCCCTTTCGAAGAAGCTACGGTTGCTAAAACAGGACAAACATCTCTTCGGCTGAGACAGCAGAGAATAGCCAGAGTAAGCCAAGAGTGTGTAACATTGTCATTGTTTCTGTACCACAATCCATTATAAACCACATCATGGATACAGTTTACAAAGCCATAGTCAGGTGAGGATCAAGGGTTTTAATATATAATTTAATATAATAATAGTGATCAGCTGATTGTCTCACAAACGTAACCAGCAGCACATTTCTCCCCACATAACAAACCCATAACACAGCGAGGGAGAACTAAGTTACATGAAACAATCCCAACTACATATTTTACACTACTCACAAGGGAAAAGTCACTACTCACAGAGTTTATGGCTAGTTTCTAGCTTTCTGCTGCTTCTCTTTCAAGGTAGTGGCGAAACGCGTTCTGTAACACTGTTTGTTCACGTTCGGCTACGGTAGAAAGATGACGTCACAATATGGCGACCTTCATAGAAGGGGATTCCCACGGTTATGGAGATATAAATGTCTCATTTTAAGGTAATAAAAACATTACGGTTTATTAAGTAAGTTCTTTATACACCACTGAAAACATAGTTATGGATGTCATATTGCATTTCTGTTACAGTTTTTCTCAATTATTTACACACAAATTCTGGTACTTGAGACACAATGACCACAACATGTGACTCATTCACCAACCCCCTGAACCAATTCTGATGAACTACAAGCACAATTCCTGCTTTACACTCAAATTGCAGCTCTAAAACACACTTTTTTCAAAACACTACACACAAATTCTCTGCATTTGGCACAATTTTCATGCAGAAAATCTCTTCTTTTCACGAGGAACACACTGACATTCAAATATTCACACTGACTCGTCACATGGACAAACACACGTCTCACAGTTTAACAATTAGCAATCAGAGCTTTAGCATAAAATACCAAAACCAAAGAGAGGATGCAGCATAGATTTTTACTGTAACAGCATAAACATTTTTTTCTGTTGTTTTGTATGTAGACCACTGTATGTGCAACTTTGTGTTGATTGGGGTGTATGAAATGTGCAATCTATTTCCCATTGTTTTTGTGGGAAAAATACAGTAAAATATATTTGTTACCGTGTATTTGTGTGTTCTGGGTATAAAAACAATATTCTCAAATATTTTACAACACACTTATGTATGTAATGTCTGTAGTAAGTGTAACCCTGAACAAAAAAGGCCCAATTCATTATGATGAATGGAGAAGAAGTGTTTTCCATTGATCATAGTGTTTTACATTGAGCACATCAGTGTTCAACTGGTTCTTATAAATGTCTATTCATATAATGGTTTGTGTGTGTCATTTGAAAACAAAATAACATTTTGAGAATATATAACATTGTTTTGAATGTGAAGTTTCATTTTGCACTAGAATTGAGGGGTTTTGCCGATTGTGTGTGTGTTTTTAGATTTGTGTGTAGAGTTCTGAGAATATGAGGCATACTTGCAGGAAATGTGTGTAAACAATCGAGAAAAACTGTAATAGATACTCAACTTTTTGACATTGCACATTGCACCTTTGAATTTCAGAGGTAAATTCGAAACAAATAAATTCAGACGCATGGTTTCCAAAGTAAAATAATTTCAAAGGGGTGAATTCCGAGCAAATAAATTCAGACAAATGTTTTTCAAAATAAAATTGAATACAAAACTAGTATTCAAAACTAGTAAAAGTATTCAGTGGCTGTTAAATTTCAAATAGTTATGTCTCTCATTTGCTTCCATACTTTTACAATACTGTATGACAATCGCGGGATAAGAGGCAAAGATAATCGTTAGTGTGTGTGTGTGTGTGTGTGAGCGAGAGAGTGTGTTAGTGTGAGAGAGTGTGTTAGTGTGTGTGAGAGCGAGAGAGAGATGAGAGTGTGTTAGTGTGAGCGAGAGAGAGTGTGTTAGTGTGAGAGAGTGTGTTAGTGTGTGTGAGAAAGAGAGAGAGAGGAGAGTGTGTTAGTGTGTGTGTGAGAGAGAGAGAGAGAGAGAGAGGAGAGTGTGTTGGTGTGAGAGAGAGAGAGAGAGAGACTGTTTTTGACACTTAAAACAATTTATTCCATCATTAAAGTTAAAAAAAAATTAAATTTAGTATTCCGTCATAGTGACTATAACAAACAATTCACTCTGTCTCAGTGTATTACAGTTGTTTTACTATCAATGCCAATGGCGAGAGAATTTAATTTTGCAGTGGACAAATCAAAATTAAGTCTCATAAGACACTTGAGTAAAGGCTCGTGTGTTTTGTGTCTTAATCAATCTTTCCCACACACATATAAATTATAACTCGTACTCATCGCTCTGTCCATTTCAGCAAATGACGTTTTGTGAAGGCCTCTCCTGTTGCTTTGGTGCTTTTCAACATGCGCGTGCACCCCCTGCTGGTAAAGTCGTCTAACAGCAGATAGAGAGTATGCTCAGTAATCTACTGCTTTTCCTGCAGTTTCTGGATGTCACCGTTGAATTTACTGTCGAATTTGAACCACTGAATTTGTGGAAGCGAATTTTCAAGGCGAAATCAAATGGACCGAAAATTGCCTGTTGAATATTATAGGTTGTATTTTTAAACAGTTTGAAAATTTTGGAAGTGAAATATGAAAGGTGAATATGAATTATTGAATTTTTAATAATGAAAAATATTTTTAATTGAAATATTCACAGCTTAAATATTCAACCATGTTGAGACATTTTAGCCCATAAAAATATAATCCTTAAAAATACAATGGATTAAAATGCAAGCAGGGTTAACAAAATGCTTTTTTTTTTTAATTGGTGCAATTCAACATGCTTTTTGTTTCAAAAACATTAGACATTATTTTACTTCCATACACTTCTACCGCACATTCAGCCAATCACACACTCCGAAAGCACACTTCCACCTCACATTCAGCCAATCACACGCTCCGAAGGCACACTTCTACCTCAGATATTGTATATCATGCATACAAGAATCAAAAGTTTAAACTAAAACACTCAATATTCATTTATTCACTCAATATATCAGTATATATTTATATGCAATATCTCACAGAGTATAATTTCACAATAAATTTCTACAAACATTTTCACTTTAGTATTTTGTGATCTGATGAAGATGAAGATCTCTCTTCCTCTGTTTTATTTGCTGATGAAGATGATGTGACTTTACAGAATAAAGAGTCTCTTATTTTCTTCATTCTTCATTTCTCTCTCTCTCTCTCTCTCTCTCTCTCTCTCTCTCTCTCTCTGCTAATGTAGGTTAAGATACTGTTATATGACAGATGAAGGTTGTTCTGATGTGACTTCAGCTCTGAAATCAAACCCGTCACACCTGAGAGAGCTGGACCTGAGCGGGAATAATCTAGGAGACTCTGGAGTGAAAAACCTCAGTGATCTACTGATGAACCCACAATTCAAGCTGGAGAAACTACAGTTAGTGTCATTATACTGTACAGTAATTACAGTGTGACTGAAGTTTATTTATTTGAAGACAGCAGGGCTTATGTTTCATTGGTTATAGCAGTGCACTTTCTGGGGGTTTACTTATTGCTCACATTTTTTTTATAGTTCTTTATCTTTTCACAGTTTTTTATCTAGTTAGTAGAGTGTAGTTTGTAATTTTTTTAATTCCCAGCATCTGATACAATGCACTGATTGTGTACTCACAGAAATCTGCCTTTTCAACAGAGAATAAAGAAGAGAGACGTCAAATAAATAGTTAGAAATGAAAGAGAAGAAACAGTGTCTTCCAGCGCACAGAACTAGTGTGACTGGGTTTTAAAACAGACTATTGGAAACTAAATGCTGCTGTAGCTCTTCAATAAGATGATCATCACAGATGTGAACTATTGTTATTTCTCTGTCTTCAGTCTGAGTGATTGCAGTATTACAGAGGAACAGAGTCTCATCCTGACTTCAGCTCTGAAATCAAACCCGTCACACCTGAGAGAGCTGGACCTGAGTGAGAATAATCTAGGAGACTCTGGAGTGAAGCACTTATGCGCCGTACTGGAGGATTCACACTGTAAACTGGAGAGATTGAGGTCAGTCACATTCACATACAAGAATCAAAATGCTTAAAATCACTTCAACTGTTTAGAACACATTAACATTATATTTGTACAAACATTTTCACTTTATTATTTTGTGATCTGGTGAAATAAAGATGAAGATCTCTCTTCCTCTGTCTGTTTTGTTTGCTGATGAAGATGATGTGACTTTACAGAATAAAGAGTATCTTATTTTCTTCATTCTCTCTCTTTCTCTCTCTCTCTCTGCTAATGTAGGTTAAGATACTGTTATATGACAGATGAAGGTTGTTCTGATGTGACTTCAGCTCTGAAATCAAACCCGTCACACCTGAGAGAGTTGGACCTGAGCGTGAATAAACTAGGAAACACAGGAGTGAAAAACCTCAGTGATCTACTGATGAACCCACAATTCAAGCTGGAGAAACTACAGTTAGTGTCATTATACTGTACAGCAATTACAGCAGTGGCGGGCCGTGCATTTCACACCTAGGCCGTCTGTCCTACCTGAATTAAAAACTTTTAATAGTGTATCAGCGTAAAGACTCTCTATAATTGTTGTTTTTATTTTGCACCGGAAGTTATTGGATTAATGCGGTGAGTTCGGGAGAGGCCGGTAGAGAGAAACGAGCGCGTGAGTTCGGCTGGTGCGTTTGTAAAGTGGTTCTTGCGTTCCGAATCCGATTATAAGTTCAGAAACGGAGCCTCACTTATCTTGTCGTTCAAGGGTTACAATAGTCCCTTTTCAGATGTTACAATAGTATGAATGTTTGAAAAAAATTAAGTTTCGATCATAAATTTATACAAAAAATGAAGAAGAAAATCATATTCACCACGGGGAAAAAAGCATATACTCACCAAAACTACAGATTATTTTTTTACACAAAATCCATCCTTATTTCTTTCCTCAAGAAGACTTCAATTACTGTCGTACAGGTTCTAACTGCGTTTCAGTTCCAATAATGTCGTGTCTGTCTCGTCTTATTTCTAGCATAAATTTTAATTTGCTTTATGGCTGAGAGTGCCTGTTCGACAGAAACACAGTCACTGCAAAACATGACGATGTGTACAGCTGCCCCATGCTCTCACACAGAGTTTTGACCGAAATCAACGAGATCAGCGGGACTTCTGCCTTCAGAATCATTCGTGGCATAACTTACATTAATCTGTTCTGTTTTTACCCGGAGAGATCGAATAGAGTCCCGTTACTCTGCGTTTAGCTCAGGCTGAATAAGGGATTTTTTTCTGCTGGGGGTCGAGGAGGGAAAGAAACATTAATTTGTGGGTTGAAATCTATTACATCTACAGGAATATATTTTAGTTTATGCAGTTCGCTACAGATGCGGATACTACCAGTAATAGTACGCGCATCCAATCAAAGAACGAGAAAATACAGATGTTATTATTCGCCTGCTAGACGGCCCCGCTGCAGTCAAAGCGAAATCTGATTGGCTGATTAAATCTGACGGATTATCTGATTGGTTAAAGAAACAGTTTCATTGCCTTTCATTTTAAGTTACAGGCGCCTGCACTGTCGATTCTGAAGGCCTCCAGGCAGATTTATTTGACCCTGGAAACACATGATGGCTGAAATATGATTGGATACAAGCTCTAACATAAAAACAAAATACTGGAAGCAGCGCAACCAAAAGAAAAGCTATGAAATTAAGAGAATGAACTATTGGGAATAATTTAATATTCATGCAAAAAATATATTAAAGTGCAAGTCAGTGATTCTGATAGTGTTTAGGCCAGTAGAGAAGGCCTTGCTGGCCCTGACGGCCCACCACTGAATTACAGTGTGACTGAAGTTTATTTATTTGAAGACAGCAGGGCTTATGTTTCATTGGTTATAGCAGTGCACTTTCTGGGTTCCCTATCGAGGGAACTCAACACTGCGTCGATAAAATCGACTCTTTGGGGACGCTCCCTAAGCGTGCGCCTCTGAAGTATGAATGAAACTAATCCAATCCTGATTGGTGTTGCGTCGTGACGTAACATGTGACGGCATACCCGGAAGTATAAAAGTGACGCTGTCACAACACACACTAGCTTTCGCTCTTCAGATTTTTTGCAGATTTGTCTCTCCGGGCCACTAGGGAAGCGGCCAGCGCTATTGGCCGCTCTATGGCGGCCATGGTGGCCACGGAGAGGCATCTGTGGCTGAACTTATCCGGTATTAAAGAAAAGGATAGGTCCTTCCTGCTGGATGCGCCGCTTTCGGCTTCTGGCCTGTTCGGCGACGCCGTTAATTCGGTTGTCGACAGGTTTCAGGAGTCGAGAAAACAATCTGCGGCGTTCCAGCAGTACCTCCCCCGGAAAGCGAAGGCCAAATCTAGTAGGGGGGGGCAAAGCAATCAGCCCCAGCCATCAGCCAGCTCCTCCCACAGGGCAGAGCAGAAGGAGAGCGTTTCCTCTAGAGCCCCCCCTCCGGGGTCTTGGCAACAGAGGAAACGCTCCCAAAAACCGAAGTCCTCCAGCCAGAGGGGCGACCTGAGGGACGTCATTCAGGCTAGGAGGACTTCGGAAAAGAGGTCCTAGCCAAGGCAGGACTTCAGAGGGCTGCCCCCTCCGCAGTGAGACAACCGAGGTTGTTCTCACAGCGGGGCCCTCTAGGAAAAGATGCAGGTCCGCCGTTAACAGCGCTTCGGGCCGCATCAATTTCCAGCGAAAAGACACCTAATCCAACTAATCGAGAGGCTGGTACCCTTAGTAAATTTTTTTTAGAGGGATGGTATCATCTTCCCAACATATCTCCATGGGTCCTGCAGATAATACGAGTTGGGTACAGACTGCAGTTCGCGCACCGCCCCCCCAAGTTCTCTGGGGTGGTGCTCACTGCGGTGGTCCCAGAGCAGGCTCAGGTGTTGGAACAAGAAGTACAGACTCTGCTGTCGAAAGGAGCCATAGAACGTGTTCTTCCGGTAGACAGGGAGTCCGGGTTTTACAGCCGGTACTTTATAGTTCCAAAGAAGGATGGGGGGTTAAGGCCAATTTTGGATCTCAGGGTGTTGAACCGGTCTCTAAGAAGGTTCAAATTCAGAATTTTGACCATTCCAACAATCGTGAGTCAAGTCAGGTCCGAGGACTGGTTTGTCACGATAGATCTGAAAGACGCCTATTTTCACATCTCCATCCTTCCTTGTCACAGGAGGTACCTGAGGTTCGCTTTCGGGGGCGAAGCATACCAATATCGGGTTCTTCCGTTCGGCCTAGCACTCTCTCCCCGCACATTTACCAAGTGTATGGACGTGGCCCTTGCTCCACTGAGACTTCAGGGGATTCGCGTATTGAATTATCTCGACGACTGGCTTATTTTGGCCCAGTCTCGGGAGATGGCAGTTCGGCATCGAGATGTCGTTCTTGGCCATATTCAAAAATTGGGGTTAAGACTCAATTTGAAGAAGAGTGTGCTAGAACCGTCCCAGGGCACGACCTTTTTGGGAGTCGTGTGGAACTCGATTACAATGCAGGCACGTATGTCTCCCGCACGTATCGAGTCAATTCTGGCGATGGTGTCCAAGGTGAAGCTAGGTCAGGCCGTCACTGTGAAACACTTTCAAAGGATGCTGGGCCTCATGGCAGCGGCATCCAACATTATTCCTCTGGGCCTCCTTCACATGAGGCCCCTCCAGTGGTGGTTGAAGACCAAGGGGTTCTCACCCAAAGGAAATCCGTTCCGTATGATCAGAGTAACGCGCAAGTGCCTTCAGTCTCTGCAAGTATGGAAGAAGCCTTGGTTCTTATCCCAAGGGCCAGTGTTGGGGGTGTCATGTCGCCGGGAAACCGTTTCGACAGACGCCTCCCTTACTGGCTGGGGCGCGGTCATGGACGGCCGCTTTACCAGGTGTCTGTGGCAGGACCATCATCGCACTTGGCATATAAATTGCCTGGAGATGATGGCGGTGTTCAGGGCTTTGAGGAGCTTCCTCCCAGACATCGAGGGTCGCCACGTCCTTATACGGACGGACAATACGTCAGTGGTGGCCTATCTGAACCGACAGGGGGCACTCCTCATAGCTCCGCCATGGCCGATTCCTCTGAGGAGGGATCTATTGTCTCAGGCGGAGGGCACAATCTTCCACCCTCGCCCAGAGTTGTGGAAGCTGTGGGTCTGGCCTCTGAGGGGGTTCAGTACCTAAATGCTGGCTTATCAGCTGAGGTGGTTGAAACCATACTTAGCTCTAGGGCCCCATCTACCAGGAGATTATATGGCCTCAAGTGGAAGGTGTTTCACACTTGGTGTGGAGAACGAAGGTTGGATCCAGTAAACTGCCCAGTGGCTTCAGTTCTGGAATTCCTTCAGGATCGTTTCTCTGCGGGTCTCTCCCCGTCCACCCTTAAGGTGTACGTGGCTGCCGTTTCGGCTTTCCACGCGCCAGTAGATGGTGGACCTCTGGGGAGGCACCAATTGGTCATTAGGTTTCTCCGTGGTGCTTGGAGGATGAGGCCGGCGATCAGGTCCAGGGTGCCTGCCTGGGATCTGGCAATAGTTCTGGAAGGGTTGTCCCTCGCTCCCTTCGAACCTTTAGAGTCGGCTTCGCCTAAGGACTTAAAGCTGAAAATGGTCTTTCTCTTAGCGATTACCTCTCTTAAGAGGGTGGGAGATCTCCAGGCCCTGGCGGTAACGCCAGCTTGCTTGGAGTTTGCCCCTGGCAAAGTAAAGGCCTTCTTGCACCCGAGTCCGGGCTACGTGCCTAAAGTTCCTTCGAGTACGGCTCGCTCTGTAGTCCTTTAGGCATTCCATCCTCCACCTCATGTGTCGGCGGGAGAAGAGAGGCTTCACTTGCTCTGCCCCGTCAGAGCTTTGAGTGTATACTTGGAAAAGTCTGCTTCTTGGAGAAGATCTGACCAGTTGTTAGTATGCTTTGGGTCACCTAAGAGGGGGCTCCCGGCGACCAAACAAACTATAAGTAACTGGATTGTCCAGGCTATTACTGAGGCTTACAAGGTGCGTGGGGTTCCTTCACCTTTGGCCTTAAGGGCTCACTCGACTAGAGGCATGGCTTCCTCTAGGGCCCTTCTGTCGGGAGTACCTCTGCAGGAGATTTGTGAGGCAGCCGGCTGGGCTACCCCGCATACTTTCATCAGGTTTTACAGTCTCAACCTTCCCAGTACGCCCGGTGCACACGTACTCGGCCCTTGCTGAGTGCCTAATCAGTTTCACTCTGGGGCGGGTCTGTTCGGTGCGTGGCCTAGTGGGTACTCGTTCCCCAAAGAGTCGATTTTATCGACGCAGTGTTGAGTTCCCTCGATAGGGAACGTCTCGGGTTATGACTATAACCCTTGTTCCCTGAGAAGGGAACGAGACACTGCGTCGTGTTGCCACGCTCCCTTTTTCAGACCCTTGAGCGTCTTGCCTCATCGCGAGGCTAGTGTGTGTTGTGACAGCGTCACTTTTATACTTCCGGGTATGCCGTCACATGTTACGTCACGACGCAACACCAATCAGGATTGGATTAGTTTCATTCATACTTCAGAGGCGCACGCTTAGGGAGCGTCCCTAAAGAGTCGATTTTATCGACGCAGTGTCTCGTTCCCTTCTCAGGGAACAAGGGTTATAGTCATAACCCGAGACGTTTTGTGTGCTTTTTTTCTAGTTAGCTTATACAGTGTATTGTAATTGATTTCACTGCTTTAAAATTGAATCAATATTTTTGAGTGTGAACATTTTTCACCAAAAAAAATGTTGTAAATCATATAAAACTTTTTAGCCTGTAGATAGTAATTGTTTAATTCCCAACATCTGATACAATGCACTGATTGTGTACACACAGAAATCTGCCTTTTCAACAGAGAATAAAGAAGAGAGACGTCAAATAAATAGTTAGAAATGAAAGAGAAGAAACAGTGTCTTCCAGCGCACAGAACTAGTGTGACTGGGTTTTAAAACAGACTATTGGAAACTAAATGCTGCTGTAGCTCTTCAATAACATGATCATCATAGATGTGAACTATTGTTATTTCTCTGTCTTCAGTCTGTATAGATGCAGGATTACAGAGAAACAGAGTCTCATCCTGACTTCAGCTCTGAAATCAAACCCGTCACACCTGAGAGAGCTGGACCTGAACTGGAATAATCTAGGAGACTCAGGAGTGAAAAACCTCAGTGATCTACTGATGAACCCACAATTCAAGCTGGAGAAACTACAGTTAGTGTCATTATACTGTACAGCAATTACAGTGTGACTGAAGTTTATTTATTTGAAGACAGCAGGGCTTATGTTTCATTGGTTATAGCAGTGCACTTTCTGGTTTTATTAAACTAAAACACTTTATTCTCAATATCTGACAGTGAGTCTAAATTCACATTATATTTGTGTAAAATTCTTCACATTCATGATTTGTTTGTAAGATAATCTCTCTTCCTCTGTTTGTGTCTCTCTAGTCTATATGACTGTGGCATTACAGATGTTTCTTCTTTAACTCAGTCTTTGACGAACTCAAAAGCTCTGCAGTTTTTAAAAGAGCTTGATCTGAGTGACAATGAGATCGGAGACTCAAAGCAGCGGCTCAGAGACGAGCTACGAGACTCAAACTGTGTCCTGAGGTGAGGAAACATCACTGAGATATTAAAGACATCTTCATTTTCCTCTGATATGTGAACAAATCTTTCAAATATTCTTGAAAGGAAATTATCAATAAGATTTGTTGCAACAAAGGGTTTGTGTGAGAACAAAATGTGAAGTTATTGAAATGTTGAACACAAAGGAGGAAAGAGAAGAAAAGCTCACTGTCACAGCTTTATACATCAACACCTGCTTTATGAACTGTGTCAGTAGAAGTGAATCATTTGAGTGTGAAACAGACTTGGTCAGATTGTAGGAAACGCTGCACTCCTGCTAAAATCAGTGCAGTTCCAGCTTCAGCTCACAGCGTCCAGCTCACATGAGCAATGTCTCTGTCTCTAGTGTGTTTTTACTGTGACAAGCAACACGTCACACTACTCGACACTTACTTTACTCTCAGTTATTTACTAAGAGCCTACAAACATGTTTAAACTAGAGGACAAACGGCTTTAACTAAAGGTTTGTGTTTAACTCAAAATAACATTAGTATTTGCTCGCTGTGGTTTATTCCATACGCCGTACACTCATTAGTTTCTCCTTTACAGAGACTCAATAGGAGTCGCACCGACACACACAGACACACATATGAACATGATTCAGATTTAAATCTATTATATTTAAAAACACAAATATCTTTATCCAAAAGATGATGTAAAGTCGGTAATTAATCTGATTACAGGAATTCACTTGAATTTATTTTTGCTCAAAAAACAATAAATTTGTAATATCCACATATGAACATGATTCAGGCTTAACGTATTTTATATTTAAAAATAAAATATCTATACAACATTATGTAAAGTCAGTAATGAATCTGATTACAGGAATTCAATTTAACATTTTTACTCAAAAAACAGTAATAGAAATTTAATAATTTGCACTTTGTTCCACTGAACACTGATTGTTTTCTCTTCTGTTCCACTTTACAGAGTAGATGAAGATCGACTGGCAAACTTCCGGATCGACCGGATTTCCATCAAGGTTTAAATCTGAGCAGAAACCATCAGGTGATCCACAGAAGAGTCTCACTGCTGTCTATGAGGAGAAATACATGTGTAAATGTGTTTCATACAGGTGGAAGAGACTCAGACTTCACTATTAAATAAAGCAGCGTGTGTGTTAGCATGCGTATTAGAAACATGTGATATTGAATGATTAATGTTGGTTTATTATTCAGCCAAATGATGGTTTAGTTGCAGTGTTGTGCAAGTTACTTCCAAACTGTAATACATTAGGTATTACTTGTTACTGTTATTTAAAAGTAATTCATTACCTTACAATATTACTGTCTCAGATTTGTAATGCGTTACATTACTCATGTATTACTTTTGAGTTACTTTCACCAAAATAACTAAGTAGAACTTAACTTTTGGGCTGTAACGGTATGCAATATGAAACCGAAATCGCGATTCGCCACACGACTCAGATCCACGAACCTACAGAATCGCGACACACCTCTTCCAACTCCAGCGTTATTCTCCTTACCGTCCAGATCCAATGCTGCCTTATCTTTAAATTAGGCTATTAGTATTATTAGTATTATTTGAAGTTAACATTTGAAGTTAACCACAAACTAGTTGAGGATAAACTATTGAAAATTGGGGAAGTCCACCATTAAGAGCCCAACTAAAGCAAACACTCATCACCACAATGGTATCTTAAAATGAAACATATCAACATCTAAACCTCATCTAAACAATGTAAGGAAATGACATTGATATAAACATGAGTTTTAAACACGATGGCCACATTTGACCTAGTTTTTAAACTTGTACGAAGGTTCGATGAACGTCTATATCGGACGTGCAGAACACGTCAAAAAACACGTCATAAAAACTTTAATTCTGGCTCCTCAGTGGACGTCTTTTCAGCATCCGACTTTTGTGACAAAGACGTTGAAAAGACATCTTTTGGACATCATGTTGTTTAGTGGGCAGTCTATCTAATGTTGGCCCACCAATAGATTTGAAATATTTTTGTAGTTTTGGCCAGATTACTAGTTTTGAATGAGTGATCTGATAGGTTTTCATTCCAAAATGAACGGGTCCAGATCGGATCCGGATAGGGTCTGCCGCGGATCTAGTCTGGATCCGCAATCCGGATCTGTTCCAGATCCGTTGCGCTGTGCAAGTGGACTCCGTTCCGGACCTGGTTCTTACCTCCGCGGCAGATCCGTTCCGGATCTGTTTGCTATGTGGGAAAGGACTCCAGACATTAGACAAATATCAGTCTATGTTTTATTTTTAATATTAGGGAAAAGACACACATTCATGCGTGAAAAAAAATAGGAGGCAAATATATATTTTTTGTAATTCTGTTAATTACACTGCGCAAATCGGATGAGGAAGGGTTGGCTCTCCAGTCTCCATAGAACCTTAAAATATTCATTTTATTTTAGTTTTCGTGTTCGCATTTATGAGGAAAAAACAATGTTACAGACGCGACCGCTCCGAACTGGCACTAAAAGACTGCTTTAAAACTTTCACACAGTCTGTTGCCTTTAAGAAGTAAAAGCAGACAATACACTGTAATACAACTGTAATACAAGCCTCACTGAACATGTAACGAGTAAAATATTACTGAAAATTGATTAGTAATGCCTTACTGCGTTACAGCAAAAACTAATATGTTACAGTAATGTATTACTTTTGTAATGCGTTACTCCCAACACTGTTTAGTTGTAATTAAAGGTGGAACAGAGGAAGAAGCTCAGATGAGTGTCAGCAGAAATCTTCACTATCAGGCCTGCAAATATAATAATGTTTAGACTAAACTCATCCAGAATTATTCAGATATTTCTAATCATGAACGGGATTGTCAAGTATAGCACATAAATGTTTCAATAGATATAGAGATTACATGTAACTTTTAAAACATTTAAATTATCTCTCTAACATTTTATAGACAGAATATGTTTATTGTTATTGTTTTATTGTATATGTAGTTTGTGTGTGTGTGTGTGTGTGTGTGTGTGTGTGTGTGTGTGTGTGTCCTCCAGAACGCAGAGCTGAATGAAGCTGAAACTGAGGCGTCGCCACTCTCCAGTAATCCTGCGCTGCTGGTAAGAGACTCAACATGTTCATGTCATGTGACGCCCTTTACATAGACATCAGTCCTCATATACCTGCACTGACACTGCAAAACACACACAACTGCACATTTCACTGCATGAAAAGTGGGATTTTCGTCCCCGTAAACTGTCGGAAATCTCCCTAATTTTCGGCAGTTAACGACAATTTACAGACTGTGAACGTCGCGTTCCACTGTGCCACATATTGACGGAAACGAACCATGACGTATGCATGGGGCGCTCGCGGAGGTGTGAATGGCCCTAATTAGCATATGAATAGCAGCACTGCGCGCGCCTTGCCAGAGAATGGCTTGAATTTCCTCACTCAATATTGGTTGAAATTCACTACATTTAAACAAGAAAATCACTCGTGATTGGTTGGCAGATCTGTTATTATTGGTCAGCTTACATAAAATTATAATAATAATAATTTATTTATATATATTCATATGATATGCTATTATGTTGTATATTCATGTCATTGTTATCCTATGGACTAAACTATTATTACCATCAAGGACATGAATTTATTGAGGAAAGGAACATATGCCAGATACTGTTTATTCAAAGAAATAGCTTTATTAGAACAAACACACAATGTACAAAGCATAGGAGAACATCTTCAAAGCACAGAAAACATGTCCTCCACCCTCTGGAAACATGGGATAACATACATACAGCACTACAGTTATACAAATAAATCAATAATATATAGCATCTTAATTCAAAAATAAATTGCCCTGAATGGCATCAGAATTGGGCACCAGATATATCAAACACAATGTACAGTGGAGGCAGAATTATGAACAAATAATAAGGATGTAATTTATAGGGATAGTTCAGTTTGAAATTAATTTTTGATATGTTTTAGCTTACCTCAAGGGCATCCAAGATGTAGGTGTCTTTGTTTCCACAATATTTTCAATTTTGATATTTTTAGGTCAAATCGTTCTTGTCTGTCAGTCATATAATGGAGGTCTATGGTCACCACCTCAAAGAGCATGCACAGAGAAGTCCAAATTAAACATGATTTAATGACTCATAAATTAAGTACACGTTGATGGCCTAAGACACGAAACGAGCGATTTGTGAGAGAAAACAAACAGTTTATATATATATATATATATATATATATATATACACACACTGTTCATTTTCTCACACAAACCGCTCGTTTCGTATCTTAAGCCATCAATGTGTACTTACAGTTACGAGTCATTAAATCATGTTTAATCTGGATTTCTCTGTGCATGCTCTTTTAAGAGATCCCCATAGATTTCCATTATATGACTGACAGACAAGAATGGTTTGACGTAAAAATATAAAAATTGAAACTACTGTGGAAACAAAGACACCTACATCTTGGATGCCCTTGAGGTAAGCTAAAACATATCAAAAATTAATTTTAAAGTGAACTATCCCTTTAAAACTCTTAATTCAAGTCCTGTAGGCTCATCGGGGCGTAGTGAATCCTCCACCTCCAAGTCTTTACGACGCGTGCTTGAGGTGCTCACACACGTTCACCTTGATGTACATACACCTCAGTGGCTATGGAACCAAATTTCATGATCCCTTCTGCAAAGTTGAAAAAGACCAATGATTTAGATGTATGCAAAGGCAATCTGCCCCAAGTCCCCACATTTGTAAGCAAAAATATGTTTCCTTTGCATCCACTACCTGGTTTCCTTCAGGCGATGGCGGATGTCGACCAGTAGTTTCAGGACATTTTTCTGGAACACTGAAATAAACAAACACATTTGGTGAGGTTTGCAATGCTCTAATTAGAATAGCAAAGTTTGCTAGCTCACAAGAGAGAAGGTGTCTATTAAAAGTGTCTTCTCCACTGCCAATAGATCAATACTTACCAGTCTCAGTCACTGCATCTCCCAGTCTCAGTCACTGCATCTACACCACAAAAAATGTGTTATACAAGTTATTATCAAATGATGAAACTGAACATATTTATAAGATGATAAATAATAAATCTGCAATATTGTAACAATTAAAGATACATCTATAAAACTTGGTGAACTGCAAAGTACTTTGATGAAAATTGCGGCCTTAATTGTAAAAAAATCTAATTTACTAATTTACTACTTCTAAATTACTTGATTTCTTGTTCAAAGCAATGTGTACACTGTGTAACAGGCATCCAGGGTCATATGACCACCACCTGAATAGCAAAATAATCCTAAATGAGCTTAATGTGAACGCAGCCGACAACTCACCGTGCCTGTCATGTGCTGAGATCACTGCGCTGTACTCTTTTATCATGTCTGGACCTGGGCGGGGGACTGGGGGCATCACTACGGGATCGGTCTTCATGGATTTATTAGTTCCATATGGTTATACCTGAAATTAAAATAATTTTGTAATTATAATACGTTTCCTGTTGTGTTAGTATATGTGCACTGGAAGCCTCAGCACACAAACAAATTCCTTATGTGTGCAAGGCAAGCACACTAGATAATAAAGCTCTTTCTGATTCAGATTCAAAGTAATAGCAGTGATTTGAAGACTGTGTGCCTCGCACCATCACTGTACGTGCCGTGACCCATCATGTCTGGACCTGAAGGTGTGCCTCGAACAATCTCTGTGCAGGACCTGATGGTGAATCGAACACTGGACCTAGTAACATTTAAACTTGGCCAAACATTAATGAATATAACATGCCATGTTCCAGTTCTCTTTGGCGTTTTCACCACTGTCTTACTCTCAAAGTCATCCGTAAACACAGACGTTAATACCAAATTAGTTTAGTTTTACTGTTTATTTGACTGGGCCTGATCAAAAGAAAAGAGGATGAGATCACAACACGTAACGTTACCTTGTTTAGGTGTTTTTTCTCCTATCAGGGAAGGGCACCTCACTCCTTACAGCACCTGAGAGACAAAACAAATGCGTTAACAAACATCACAAACAGATGGAGTTAAAGATTTCACTCCATCACACAACAGCGTTGCAGTTTTACAAACAAGGATAGCCTACACTAGAGCATACAAGCACATTACGAACTTCGAGTTTGTATGATCCTGGCACATATAATTTTTCCATATTTTCTGACGATATTCAGAGTAAACGCATTGGGAAAAGCCTGTTGAACACCCAATACGAGTTAGTTTGATTACTAGCAAAGAATGGTAGCTACCTAGCAGCCAGATAACAACGTGCAAAATACAATTTAGTGTCCCAAATTGCAGAGATGGGAGCAAGTCACACATTCAAGTCACAAGTAAGTCATGAGTTCATGGGTGGAATAAAAATATGGCAGGACTTTTACTTTCTGACCCCTGGACTAGGGCTGCACGATTAATCGCACGATATTGTTGTGAGCATCTAATCAGTAAAGTTGGTTCCTTGATTAGTAGTAAATCACCTTCACCTGCTTTCAGATGGAAGATATGGTGCAGATATGAGTGTCAAATGAACATTCAAAAGTGTTAAAGTTAATGAGATAATTAAGTGATTAATTTAGTGATGATTGAGCATTATTGAAGACACCTGATGATAACAAGCAGAATCACTGAAGGAGAAAATCACAAATTGTAAGTCACCATTATGGAGATCAGTGTCTGCTTTAGTTGGGCTCTTGACCTTTGTATTATAAACTTTATATTTTAATTGGCTGTTGCATCTGAGTTATACCTGCCAGATAAACAAAGAAAAAAAAATCAAATGGTGTTGGTTATATTCTGACAATCATTATTTGAAATTTATGTCTGTGATTTATGCTGTTGGTTACACTATAACTGAGATTCTGCATAAATATCCAGAATTTGAGCTATAACATAAAGGATTTCTTAAAAGTTGTAAAAAAAAAAAATCTTTCTTTTAGCCACACACAGATATCAAGATTCAGTCAATGCATCTCAACAATGGTGATGAATATTCAAGTAGGAAAAGTAAATTACATAGACAATTCAGATCATAATTTATTCATACCGCAATGCATGATGGGAGCCATTAATGAGTTGTGATTGGTGGCAACAAGGATTATAAATGTCACCACGGTTGAGATAGACAGGCTGATTATTGATGTCTGTGTTACTAAATAAAGACAAAAATGATTTGATCAGAATCATTTTTATTAAATGTTTTAGTTTATACTCTAAATACCAGATCATCTGAATGAGTTTCCTTTTTCAGATCATTGCATGATTATGTCATTACACAACTGACACTATTAGATCACAGATGTCTTTGTTCATTTGACTGTTATAAATCTATAACAGCAGACAAACAAAGTTTAAAGTGAAAGTACAAGTGTCAAGAGCCCAACTAAAGCAGACACTGATCTCCATAACGGTGACTTACAATTTGTGATTTTCTCCTTCAGTGATTCTGCTTGTGATCATCAGGTGTCTTCAATAATGCTCAATCATCACTAAATTAATCACTTAATTATCTCATTAACTTTAACACTTTTGAATGTTCATTTAACACTCATATCTGCATCATATCTTCCATCTGAAAGCAGGTGAAGGTGATTTACTACTAATCAAGGAACCAACTTTACTGATTAGATGCTCACAACAATATCGTGCGATTAATCGTGCAGCCCTAGTCCAGGGGTCAGAAAGTAAAAGTCCTTCCATATTTTTATTCCACCCATGAACTCATGACTTACTTGTGACTTGAACGTGTGACTTGCTCCCATCTCTGCCAAATTGACATGAAACTAAAAAAGAATTAAGAGCAGCAAGCTAACGCAAAACAAAAAAACTGTGCCGTTAAGGTTAACGCCCTTGAACATTCGCGGCAGTAATCACAGCAGGTTTGTGAAGTTTAAGACAATAACGCTTAAATACCAAACACTATAAGTAGACATGGACATAGAATTCACTAGATTGGACGAACTTACCTTCAATTTAGAGGAGATGGGTTCACCAGTGATCATGACGGCGATGTAGGCTGAATATCTGTGCCGTTATTTTCTGCTTCCTTTATTGGGGTTTTGCATCTGTGCCGTTATTTTCTGCTTGAAAAACCAACCATGTGAAAAACACGCTGAATCGCGTCGCTCGCGCCACATGGCTCACATGTTGCCTCGGCCGATCAGAGTGGCTGGCGTTACAGGTTGGGTTATGATGATATGCTGCCTCAGCCAATCAGAGTGACGTTCACTGGATTTCGACTGTGGTTGAAATCAAAGCTCTTGATAGAGTTGTCCTCGGCTGTCCATGACTTTTCTGTTGCTGTTAGTTCTTTTTAAATTAGGCATAAGGTGGATAGACCTAATATAGGCTACCATGAAATGAAAAATACAAACAGGGTGTGCATAAATAAATAACTTGATTAGGCTACTTAAAATAAATAAACCAGTAAAAAAAAAAAAAAAAAAAAAAAACTGTGAATTAACATCCAAACATGTTATCATATAATTTGAAAACTGCTTCTGTAAATGTTATGATGAATCCTATAATTTTATTAGGTAAATTTCATATTCATAAGAGTAAAATGAATAATTCTAAACCTTGTTTGAAGTTTTTTTTTTTTTGGTCTGATTTTCCGTTGTATATTGAGTCTCTCTATCGATAAAAAATGTAGTGATACAATTGTATTTACTAAAGAATATTGAAGCTAATTGAAAAGTGAATTAATGTGTATGCTATTTTCTTTCTTTAAGTAGTACAAATTACTGGTTTCTAGCTTTCTCTTAAATCATTATATTATACATAATAGATAGTCCTTTTCCCCTTTTTATTTTATTTTTTCAATTCTGTCCTATTTTTATTTTTTCTTATTCATTTATAGTGAAATTATTATTTGTTGATTGTTATCTTTTTGGATATCATGCTATTGTTGTAATTGTTGTGCATTATGTGTAATGTAAAAAAAAAAAAAAAAAAAAAAAAAAAAACACTGTGAGCCTGATCTATTTCTACCAGAGATTGTCCTAGAATGAGGTATATCTTTCAGAAAAATGTTACCTGGGGTGAAACTCCCCTACCCTTATTTGCATGTGTATAGCTCACAGCATTTTCATTTACATGTCAAAGCCTCCTCTAGATTTAGGAAAAGGGGGGTCATGGGGGGACAACTGGCAAGCAAGGCCTACGTCAATTTCCGGCAATTCACGGCAGTTTTGGGTGTTGCCTGTAAATTGCCGTGTGCAGTCGTAAACCTGAACTTCCACGACAATCTACAGTGCCGCTTACTGACGAAAATCCCACTTTTCATGCAGTGTTTATATAAGATTTTACTTTTGTTTGTTTAGATTTTTTGTGTGTGTATATTACACAATAATATACAAAGACTCTATAGATCATATACACAATATACAAGAACAAACGGTAACACTTTATAATAAGGTTCATTAGTGAACATTAGTTAACATTAACTAAGAATTAACAATAATTAGCTAATATTCATTTCAAAATGTACTAATACACTATTAAACTTAAAGGTTGTATTAGTTAACATTAGTTAATGCACTGTGAAAAACATGAACAAACAATGAACAGCTGGATTTATATGAACTAACATTAACACAGATTCATAAATACTGTAAATGTATTGTTCATTGTTAGTTCATGTTAGTAAATACATTAACTAATGTTAACTAGTGAATCTTATTGTAAAGTATTACTGAATAAACCATATAGGCATGTTTTACTGGAACAGTTTTAATGTAAATTCAGTTTTTCATTCTGTGCAATTATGAAGAATGGAGACTGGACTGTGTCAGGGAAATATATCTTCAGTCATTACTCGATTATCAACTCCAGTGTCCCGTTGTTCACAGAAAGTACATGAGAATCGTTTATTACTCTTAATCTTTTAAAGTTGATTACTTTGTAATGTTTTGTAATTATATATAAATGTCTCGCTTTACAGTGACACAAAATAAAATCATGTTCAGATTAACCGAAATAATTGTTTGAAAATGTTACAATATAAATATTATAAATATTAATTGAATATTACAAATAATGGTTTTGCCCTTTTTCTAGATGGGAAATCCCTTCAGCTCCAGAAGATTTGCGTCACATTCAAGAAACCATCTTTCTCCAACAATTTGATCTGGAAACTCAGCAGATCCACATCATGTGCTTTAATACACAGGGTAAAGGTTGTGGAAGATCTTTTGGCTGTGTTATAATTCAATCTACTCTGAAGATGAAGTGTGTAAATGAGATGCTGTAGATGATGCTGGAGTGTCCAGAGAAGTTCACACTGCATTCTGGGATCAGTTCCTTGAACAGTGTGAAGGGGAAGATGAGTGTGTCCTAGACTGAGACTTCTCTGACGCTGAATGGGAGTCAGTTGAAGGATCTGGTGAAAGGATGACTTGACCTCGGTGTTCTGCCAGTGACGCTTTCCAGTGCTTTCATTTTAGCATTGACTCAGTCAGTGATGATGTCATGATGTCATCTTTCCACAACTCCCTCTCTTCGACTGAACGATCTGCGGTTGCAAAGGCTGGTCAAGACACACTGGAGGAATGAAGTGATGAGGAGGATTTGCTCGACCTCTTCACAAGAATGGGCTCTCATTGCATCCCTCCAACAAACACCATAAAAAAGTTGCCATACAAACAATTCTTCAAGAGCCCAAATATATAATAGATGCTTCCCCAAAACCATGCCATTTGCACTGCTGAATGTCCCAGACCAGGAAAGTCTCCTGTCTCTCTATGACACAAAGAAGCACAAAAGTGTCACAGCGACTTCAAACATCACAGGTAATCTCTCTCAGATCTCAGATCAGATCGTATTCAATCGTCTGCAACGTTATGTCAGAAATGCTGAGCAGTTTCTACACTTCTGTTCTGGATCTTCTGTCATATGTGTTTTTTTTTATTTTATTTTTTTTTTTATTTTATTTACAGGGTCAATGCACATTAATAAACAAGTGTAAATGTGCCAGAATTAGCCCAAGAGGCTATTTTTCATCCGTAGACCCTTGACAGAATGTTACACAGTCACCCTAAAAACAGAGAGAGCATCACACATATACAAAAAAAAGAAAAAACACCAAGATAAAATAAAATAAACATATATTATCTAACACAAAAACAAACAAAAAAAAAACATGAGAGAGAGAAAGAGAGAGATTGCTACACAAGAGAGGGACAAAGCCAAGAGCAATTGGTACAAATAAGTCTATTATCAAGAATACGATACTAATGTTGACAGTGCTGATTTGTCAATAACCATTTTTTAAGATGAGACTGAAAAGAACCAAAAGCATGCAATTGTCTAATTGTTGATGGGACGGAGTTCCATTCCCTTGCAGCTCTGACCGAAAACACAGACTGGCTAAAGGTACTTCTTTTGAGAGGGATAATACAGTCCCCTCTTTCCCCTCCCCTTGTAGATCTGTGAGCAGTTGTTCTAATGTTCACAAACTGTTTTAATGGTGAAGACAGGCTATGTATAGTCTTAAACAGCAAACAGATATGTACATATTTAATTAAGTTATCCCAGCTTAGCAAGTTGTATTTTTTTAATATTGAGCAGTGATGAAACCGAACGGATTTCTTGTCAAGAGTTTTTAGTGACTGTTTATACAAAGACTCTAGTGGTTTCAGAGTAGTAATATTAGCATGTGACCAAGTAGTTAAACAGTAGGTAATATGAGAAATAATCATGGAATGCATATCAAAGCGGCTTCAGACGACATATAATCACGAATAAATCTAAAATTTGATAAACTAAATCTGACCTTACAGACCTTTTTAACCTGTGCCTTAAATGAAAATTTGGAATCAATCAAAATACCAAGGTACTTAAATTCAGATACAACTTGTAATCTTTCCCCTGATACAAATACATCTGGCACTATACTTAAATTCTTAGTTTTGGTGAAAAACATACACACTGTTTTAGAGATGTTTAACTGTAAGCAGCATTGTTCAAGCCATGCCGCAACATGAACCAGGGATTTTGTAAGTTCGTTTGCAACTTTTGAGGCACTATTTCCGTGTATATAAATAACAGTGTCATCTGCATACATTTGAATGTTAGAATTAGGGCAGACAGATGGAAGATCATTGATATACAACGTAAAAAGTAAAGGACCCAAAATAGATCCTTGTGGAACACCAGTGGATATACTTTGAGGAGCTGACTTATAATTCTGTATACTAACAAACTGTGTGCGACCTGACAAGTATGATTCAATCCATCTCAACGTATGTGGCGAGAAATTAAAACTTGATAATTTAGACAACAGAATTCTGTGGTTTACGGTGTCAAAGGCTTTTTTGAAATCAAGAAACACAGCCCCGACAACCCCTCCTTTATCTAATAGAAATTTAACTTTCTCAGTGAAATAGCAATTTGCCATCTCAGTTGAATAATTTGCTCTGAAGCCAAATTGCATTGGATGTAAAACAAAAGAACTATTATTCAAATAATTAGTGATTTGCGCAGCCATCAATTTCTCTGCAACCTTTGAGACAATAGGTAGAATACTAATAGGTCTGTAGTTACTAGCAGAGTGAGGATCACCACTTTTGAATATAGGCACAATAGCAGATGACTTCCAAGCACAAGGGAACATCCCCTGAGAAATTGAAAGATTGATCATTTTAGTGATAGGATTACTTATTGACTCACTAAGCTCTTTAAGGATTACCACATCCATTCCGAATACATCTTTTGCTCTAGATGGTTTAAGAGATGTAATTGTTCTTATGACGTCTAATTCAGAGACTGCCCTAAGAGTAAGGGCTTGTTCATCTGTATTAACTGTATGAGTTTCAGTATACTTAGGGGAAAAACATTGAGCAATTGTGACTACCGAGTCAACAAAATAATAATTTAATGCTTCGGCTACATCAGCTGGATTGTTAGTCAGCTTCCCGTTAACCATCAATTCAAGTGAAGACCTATCCTTTCTATTGTCACCTTTTAAGTAGCTCAACCTATTCCATATTGTTTGTGAATTACCTCTAGCCTCATTAATTATCCTCAGAAAAAAATCAGCCTTTGCTTTTCTCAATGACTTTACCACTTTGTTCCGTAACATAGCGAAATGTTGTCTATCATGACTAAGCTTTGATCT